CCAGAGAAGTTTTAATCAATTTTTCGGATGGGGCCTTTCACGTGGAATTCTTAGTGGACACTCGTTTGTGGAATTCCTAACCGTCGCAGTGGAACGGGTAGAGAGATGCATGGGGTATGAATATGAGACCCTTTCATTCGAGTTGCCATAGCGCACGAAGGTCTGCTATCCTTTTGGCTAGGGATTTTAATACAGAAGGGTACCCTAATTGCATCTGGTTATTTGTTATGCGTTATGTCTCTTCCAACCAATGACGAACCGACTTTTAACCGCAGAACAGCCCTCTTTCTTCAGAGGGACAGATCGCTTTCGCCTCAACGTGAGACTGGCATTGGGCACTCAAGCATTTTTCTGAGGATCGAACTTGGTCTCATTGTTGTCTGTCCGCGACTGCTTCGACGTTGCAGCTCTCCTCTGTATCTGAAGGTGATTCCTTATCGGCATTTCGGGGATACGTCAGATGGTCAGCTCCTATACAAACTCGCTGGTAACAACAAATGGATATAAAATAGAGGAATTTTTTTCAGTAGTGCCGAACTGACCCATCTCAGCTCAAATATGACATTTTTTTCTACAAGATCATTCGTCATTGCTAACATATTTATTTTGTGTTTATAGACGTGACCAGAAAAGCGATGCTAGTGGCAGTACTATCATTTCTATTGCCCACCTTTGGTCAAATAACATTTACCTCCTGTTGGCAAAGAATAATCAATATGCAAATAAATAGACGTTGCTTGGGTTTAGAATGGACAGTTTTTCAGGCGATCGAAATGAATACCGTAAAACAAAGACTTTTCCTCAGCCTTTTGATTGCATCCACAGCAAGTGAATCTGTTGCACCAAAATGATGCTTCGAAAGAATGAGATCGCTCCTCTTTGGAATAGTGCATCATACACCTGACGAAGTATTGACGAACAAAGTGTTGAGACTGCTTTGGAACTCAGCTCCTAAATTCAACTCAACCCATTACTCATATTGAATTGACACATAACTCCCACTGAGGTAGCTGTGGCAACTGTACTGTAATCATCGAAAACTATGACATCATCTTATTGTATTAAAAAGTTGCTTTGCTGCATAAAGGAGATGGGGTGTAATACTGCAGGAAGCCCAGTTTCGTCTCTAACCTGGTAGGCAGTTTCTGCCCTAAAGTATAAACGAGTCTGAAACCGACTGACTCTGTCAGAAAATTGTACTCTTTAGCAGCAGAACCAATCAATCAAGTTGAATCATGCTTCATCGCCATCTTCTGTCTTCTTTATAATCAATCATCTTCACCATCCAAACTTACCATTATCATCAGACATCATTCATCACCAGTATCATGATACCCATCAATTTTGATTATCTTCACCATCAGCCGTCTTCACCTTCACCATCACCTGCAGCAAATCAATTATCATAATCTTCCTTGCCATATTCCATAATCCATCATGGTCATCGTTGATGATCACTAACATTCACCATCATCACCAGTCACTTTTTCCATGATTCATACCGACCACGCATCATTATCATGGTCACCATCATCTCCGAGCATTGATTATTACCACCCTGATTATCTGGCGTTTATCACACCACTGTCATCATTGTTCATCTTCACCGGCATTATCATTCATTTTTCACATTCAGAATCGTTATTTATGATTCATCAACACTGACCTCATCATATCATGAATATCATCATAATGATAATCATGATCCGCATTATAGTTATACTTTATGATACGTATGATTGATTTTGGCTTAACTAACAAATTTTTCTTCTCTATTAGTTATGTTAGATTTACGGAAAAGATATTTGTATCCATAGGCTGCAGATGTCAAAGTACCCTATAACTCTGGCTTGCTTAAACGCTCTCCAAGGCAATTAGGATCAATGGGAAGGCGCGACTACGTGTTGTAAATCTACATAAGTGACGGGAGGTATTAGTAGTGGTATTTGAGTATTGCAGTACATGAACTAACTGTGGCTAGCCAAAAAGTTAGTCTGCTAACTGTTAATCGGCTGCACGTAGGGGTCTCACTTTTCACTATGCAAGCGACAGGATTCGTAAGTTTCTGTGGACAGCACTAAACACACAGGGAGTTTTAGTAGAAAGTCGTATTGCGGTTCATGATAATCAACATAATGTTAGTAACGAAAACATAACTATAAATGGCTTTCATACTCGGTGAGTCAAATTTATTAATTTTTTTGTTTCTCAGCATCTCGGCATCTCTGAAATGGGAAACAACAACGATACCTTGCGTATGGCTTTCTGCGCAAACTTTGTTTAGCCTTGGGATCTTGAAAACGGGGCTTTTTGCTACCGTATGAACGGAAACGCAGGATAATATTTGCCACGGTACGTTAAAACAGTTAATCTAAAAGTTTTACTGTCATTTCGAAAAGCTGAGTAGAGAATCAAGAACTGTGAAGGCAAAAAGTTGCAAAAGTTGTCTTTTCTCACTCAAAGCGGCAAAAAATCTGAGGGTTGAGCAGAGTAGCCTCGAATACCTTCGAGTACCATACTTTTGAAGACCTCGATTATCTAAAGCGGTCGTAAAGTGAATGAACCGTCGGAAGATATGACCACCGTAGATCAACATTTCCTGTCATTTCCGCGGATTCCTATGGCGTGGTCGCACCGTGCCCTTGTTTCCTACAGCCTAGGGGCCCTTTTAAGCAGTCAGGACTCCAAGCTTTTTAGCATCTGCAGTTCATGGGTGCAAAATCAAATGGAGATATAGCCTGACCTTTTGTCTCTCATACCTTTCGCTCCGGACAATCAGCACTGTATTCAGTGAGACACAAATATGACGGTTACACAGCTGTCAGTCAACTGAATGACATTTTACTCAAAGAAACACAAGGCAGTTCCTGAAAGCATAAAAAACGGAAATTCTGTACAGCTCGAAGGCAATGTAGCATAAAGCGGTTCATTTCGCCTGTTTTAAAGCAAGGCATTAACTTACAGGTTGTATGCAAAAAAATGCCCTGAGAAAAACGATATTAACATCGCATAATAAGTTAACGAAAAGAGTGTATTTGAATTTTTGTCTGCATTCGCGGCCATAAAGAATTTGCAGGACCAGTTGTTGCCACTTCCGCTCTTTATCGACGGGTCAAAAACCTTTGAAGCACTTTTGATTTTTCATCGCTCCAGTGAAGTTGATGGGTGGTGGCGATTGGCCCGGAAATCAGGTCCGTTACAAAGGGTGTTTCGTCAGATCGTTGAGCCGGCTTTCGGTCACAGTCGAACGAGTCGTTCGAATTATTCGACAACGTTTTCCAGAGGCCGGTTCTGCAGTACACTGAAGCAGCATTTCTGATCCTGACCTTCATGCGTGTCCATCTGGGTAGTGACCCAGCGGCGACAGTAACCACCGTCTTTGGCCGTTTCATACCATAATCCATAATCGCGTGGCCTCACGATAAAAATAATGAGGATTTGGATAAGATAATAGATAACGGGAGTGATTCTGAACTTTCACACTTGTCAGCGTTATTGAAAATCAGAGCAAGAGTCAAGTTTCTGTAAATCATATGGGAACCAACGCTAAATACCGTCATATTGGGAATGCAAACAATGATCGATTTCAAGCATGCATTATTTTACTGATGAGAATAAGCGTCTTCGAAGCTGAGAATCAGATCTAGTTCAAACGACCTTTGTTGTCTGATCCGCTTAGACCTTTAATCATGCATTCCACTCTGCATCACAATGGAACAACTGCGTGAAGAGGGATTGAATATGATCCGAAAAGCTAGAGATTGTGCACATACTGGATGTGCAATTTCATCTCGCATTCTTGCTACTTGGATGTGTCAAATCAGAAGACTTCTGGTCTGTCTTACACGCTATTCTTAAACATTGGACCATGTGAATCTTGCAATTGTTAGTTTTATGCTGGAATTCAGAAACTTGAGGTTTTGACCTAGTACTACAGTACGTACATTTGAGGAAAGGGTTTCTGACAAGTTCTTGAACATCCATAAAATACCCAATCCTGTTGAACAGGCCAGAAACAACATTAGCAGTTATTCTTGAATGAGCATGTAACTTAAAAGCCAATTCCAACACTGTGGTTACCGACACCTACTTCCGTTGTGCTTTCACACCATTGTGGAACCGAAGATGCGTCTTCAGAACAATCCGTGGTAACAATTGTCCCTTATTGATTTTCGGGTTCAGCACCAGCGGTACCCACTAAAAATGGTACCTTCTACAGTAGGAACCAACCATGATCTGAGCATAAGATTCGACTAAGTAAGCATGATCATGCACAGTGAACATCGTATTCTTGACCTTACGAAGTAATCTCTTCCTGAACAGTGCATTCAACCGATATATCTACTCATCTGGGCATTTGTCGTTGAGGTTCAGCTGGCAACGCTATGACTGCGATGGTGGAGGCCGAACCATACAACATACATATTATCACCGAACGTCGACTCCAAATAAGTTTGAAGGAGGGTAACTAATATCAACAACTTTTACTGATTATCACGTTTAATCACTAACAGCCATCAGGGGTGTCAAGAAGAATGGAGTCCTATGAAGAATCAGCACACCGTACGACGGCGGTGGCTAGATCAGTAG